TTAAACAAGTCAGACTCTTGGTTTTCATACATTACAGTTGCCTTCAAGACATCGGGTAAGGATTTCACAAGGTTTAGCAATATAGGTTTACAACCAAGCTTCTTCAGAACAGTGTAAAGCCCGAATGGACTAAGCGTGTCAAAGGCTTTTGTTAAATCTGTAAAAGCCACGTACAGTGTTATATGCATCTCTCTGCACTTTTCCTGCAGTTTTCTTACAGATTGCTCTGAATCAGTGACCTGTCCTCTTCATTATTCACCACTCCCCCAGTTTTTGTGTCATCTGCAAACTTTATCAGTGAAATCATCACTGATAGCAGTGGCTTGTAATGTACAGGTCTGACTAAATCAGTGGCTCTCAACCAGGATACGGGTACCCCTGGGGGTATGCAAAGGTCTTCCAGGAGGTACATCAACTCATCTAGAGATTTGTCTAATTTTACAAGAGATTACATAAAATCACTAGCAAAGTCAGTTCAGACTAAAATTTCATATAGACAATGACTTTATACTACTCTATGTACTATACACTGAAATGGAAGTACAATATTTATATTCCAATTGATTTATTTTATAATTATATGGTAAAAATGAGAAAGTAAGCAATTTTTCCATAATAGTGTGCTGTGACACTTTTGTATTTTTATGTCTGATTTTGTAAGCAAGTAGTTTTTTAAATGAGGTGAAACTTGGGGGTATACAAGACAGATCAGACTTGAGCCACTGAACTAGATAATCTAGTGGTCCATTCTGGCCTTAAACTTGATTCAAAGACCAGCAATTAACAAATTAACAATGGCTAGATTAAGGAAAAGATGATAGTTGATTCTTATTTTATGTATTTATAAAAACAAAATAGCAAATGTTATAAGGCGTATATACTCTTGTATTTTTCTCTCCTGAACCCCACCCTTCAGATGTTGCAGGTCTTCTGAGAAGGTAAACCCTTTGGAGGCAGGGACCAGCCCTGACCTCCTATTATTTGTACAACACACAGTTCATTAGAGGCCTACAGGCACTACTGCAATATAAATATGCAATGCTACGTAATCAGAAATAATTTAGAGGCACAAATTGTGTTTGGGTCTGTAACTTCCACTGATATTAAAAGTCACAAAACTAAAACCATGAACAGTTATTAGTATATGTAAGGGAATGTCTAGATTATATTTAGTGGGTGCAAAAATAAAGTTGAATGAACTGCTGTATGTCACACTGTATTAAAGAAAAGTTGCTAAGCATAAAAAAGGAACTGTGTGTGAATATTGATGTTTCTAGGGATTAGCTGAATGACCTGCTTTAAACTGAAGTAGGTCCAGTCTTTGTTTGGAAATCAAACATTCTTCCTGATCTGGAGCAACAAATGTCAGTTTGGATAGCTGAATGAAGGCCAAATGAATTGAAGCTGGGTAAATGATATGTTTTCAATAGAAATACCTAAATTTGGATACAGGGGGAGGAGAAGAGATTAAATTCCATTCCTTACGACTGCAGTGTGAAATTACTGTCTTCCACAGTCACAAAAATAATTTGAATTATGTAAAGCTGCACTTGTATACTCACTTGAACATGATCTGTATTTGCACTCCTCCAGTTTGTGGGGTGCTTTAACCATGAAAAAAGACAAGAGAACACTAGACATTACTGACTTTAGTATTTGAGAACCTTGGGATAAATCACTCAGCCCCTCATATATATTTAGAAACACTTGCCACAATGAGGCATTGTTATACATGTTAAGACTAAACTAAGCCAAGTTTGAGACCTCATTGGCAGTTGGTCTGTGCATTTTTAGGTTCTCCATTTAGAGCTACTCAGTAGATCACAGGACTGAAATGCAACGCACTCCCAAGGGATAGCCCTTCATAGTACTACCAGCCCTAATCAACCCAAGGGCCATTAAAATATTCCTCTTCCTGCTGCCTTTTATTCTTCCCTGTTCCTTTCACTCCACTCGTTCTTTCTTCCTATAGATCCTTCCTTCTCTCCAAAACAACTCTTAACTATTCCTCCCATTGTGATGGTAATCAATGTCCCACTTACCACCAGTGGGACTGGCACATGGACCTACATTGCCAATAAAGCAGCATATACTATGGTAAACTTCTCTGAAAACATTAATCAACAATTTAAGTGATGGGAGCAGAATATAATTTTATTGAATGTTGAGTTTAAGTGCTTTTAGCAGTCTCCGGTTACAGGATTTTTTTACATTTTGTCCACCAGCATTGGTTATAAAAGCCTATTTGATAGAAGGCAATCCTTGCTTATATAAGGATAGGGGGTACAGTAGTAAATAAAGAGCAAGTTCCTGAACTGCAAGGGGGAAGCCCTACAGTGGAAACAGGTATGGTTGTTCTGTTTGTGTTGGTCACATGTGCAGGATGTATTGCAACCCATCATTGCTAACTACTGACTAAGTAAAACATTTTTTTATAGGTAAATAACTCCATTTTACAGCAGATTTTAATCACCCGAGTTTAACTGATAGTTATTAACTATTGTATTATTTTGGTGGCACTGAATTACATACTAGAGGCTGCAAGCCCAGTGGACTCACATAGCACATTTCCTTTTATAGCTGGTAGTACCAACTGCAATTATGAAGGCACACTGGAACCTTATCTAGAGTGGAAATTCTGTCAGCGACAGCAGTGTTCCTTTTTATACGTTTGCAGACTGAGCATCTGTTCTATTCCTAAAGTTAATTTTGATTAGAATTAGTGGGAGTTGTACTTGTATAAAGAGAAGAATTGACACCACTTTAACTAGGTGGATACAGTACGATACACAGTTAAATTAAGAGGGTCCTGTGGCACCTTTAAGACTAACAGAAGTATTGGGAGCATAAGCTTTCGTGGGTAAGAACCTCACTTCTTCAGATGCAAGTAATGGAAATTTCCAGAGGCAGGTATAAATCAGTATGGAGATAACGAGGTTAGTTCAATCAGGGAGGGTGAGGTGCTCTGCTAGCAGTTGAGGTGTGAACACCAAGGGAGGAGAAACTGCTTCTGTAGTTGGATAGCCATTCACAGTCTTTGTTTAATCCTGATCTGATGGTGTCAAATTTGCAAATGAACTGGAGCTCAGCAGTTTCAATAGCAAAACACTATTAGAGCTAAACAGGCACTCATTTTGTTTACTTAGAATTAAAAAGGAAAACATTTACAAAGTTGACAGATAACATTTATTAAAACATGTTATACCAAAAAGGGCATGGATCTCTTCTATAAGAAGAAAATATTAAACAGCAACATTAAATTAAGTAAAACCATGCTGTGCAATTAGGACAGCAATATTATATAGACAAAATTATCCAACCTTTGCAATACAGGCATAACATCTCACAAAGTATCAATAAGATATGCAACTTTACTATTATAAATGACATTTTGTTTATAATAAACTTTTGTAGCTCACTTGCATAAACAGTTACATTTCTGGAAGAAAGATCCCTTGGAGAACAAAAAAGCAGCAGCAATTGACTTATGACACAGGCTTCAAGCAAAGTTATCAAAGTCTGATAATTTCATCACATTAAAAATAGATTGGTTTTTCCAGCATCTCCCCTTGGGGCACAGACAGCTTAGAGCTTTTAAACTAAAAACTCTAACTCGCCAGTTAAATATAATTAAAAGGAGGAAAGTAGCAACCTTCCTTTGCTGTTTTGAGAAAACTTCCAACTCTGCTAAATAAAGATGATACTAAATACAAAACTGCTGGCTCTCAGGATTCAAAGGTGGGTTAACTCTCTGGCACCAGCCCAATAATGTTCACTTTAGGTGGTCTGAAGGATGTCCATTCTTTCATGTCCAGAAGTACAGTGAGGTCAAGTATGGACCTTACAATAAAAGACACTGAAATATGGCAATCTCAGAGCTCCCTCCTGGCCTCTGATGTGTGGTATTTTATCAGTCCTGAGGGAAAATTGAGACCAAAGATCTTCCAGTAGTACCATCTAGGGTCTCTCTGCTTGTCCATGAAGCGATCAAGAATGGTTGCTACTTGAAACTGGGAAGGTGGTGCCTTTTTTTATTTATTTAAATACTAGTGTGCAAAATGGGAATGCTAATATATAAACCCAAAAAAGTAGAAAAACGACTCCTGACAGATTCACAGCTCCAAGAGAAAAGAAGTCAGGTACTTGTCACTATGACTGCAGGAGACTGTACGTCAGAATTTCAATTGCTTAGATACCATGGGTAATGATGGTCTTAGAAACCTAGAGATGGAATTGGAAGGAATTTAACTTTAGTCTCCTTAGGAGTTCTCATCACCAGCAGGCCATGCAGTGGACTCGCAGTAACAGAAGATTCTGAAATTGTTACCACTTATCTCTCTACAATGATCCAGGTGTTTATAAAACATCCCCTCTGCTAATGTCTACTAGCAAAAAGAGGGAATATTTAAGGGAAGGATAAAAAAATTAACAAAACTATGTTTTTAAATGGTCTCATCTAAAATTATAAAGCATAAGCATAAATGCATAACATTCACCTTAAAATATATATTAAGTGGATCCCTTGTTTCCCAGACCAGAATGCATCTTTTATCCCTTGTACAAGGCCATCCCGATAGTGGTGCTTATAAGCTCTAGAAGAAGCTGCATCCAGCCTTTCTTGTTTTAGTTAGTTAAGTGTGGATCATGTAGAAGTGAGGATTCTGGAGAGCCACTTACCACTTCCTGCCCCAGCCCCCCAAATTAAGACAACATCTACCTGTAACCAAAGCATTTAATGTGGTTTAATACCAAAAATCCAAGTGTCAAGGATTACAAATGTTAATGGAGTCACATATGTTGGAATTTCAACACAAAATGTCACAACCTATTGGGCAGAACAGGATTAGATGTTAGAGTTACTATTCATGAAAAGTCATTAAAAGCATACACACACACACACCTACTACACCTGTATAAAACCTTTAAAGTGTCTCTTAGTACATTATTTTAAAGCTCTATTTCAAAGTTATCTAAACATTTTACTCCTATTTGAAGTTAACTTTTAAAAGTCCCATATAAAAATCATCTCAAGCCGGTAAATGAAAGGGCTTCACAGGCAGCTCTGTAGGGAGGTCTGAGTCTGATGGAAGTATACTTTGTTATTTGACCATGGGTTCTCAACCTGGGGTTTGCAACCACCCTCTCTTTTTTATGGCCAGATGGGTCCCCAAATCTTCTCTGTTGTCCTTTGGGGGGGGTCACAGTATAGAAAAGAATGAGAGCCACTGTACTAGAACAATCTTGAAGAGAACAGGAGCATTATCTCCTCCAAATGGAACCATAAAACTCACAAAAAGTACTCCCTGTATGTGGTAAGGAGGTGGGGAAATGGAAGAAAAGGGCCAGTAAGTACAGGAACTCTCTGCCTACAGTCATGTAAACACACAAGGAAATAACCTGCTACCATTATAAATTTCAATATTAAATAGAGTGTGTAAATGTGGAAAGAAACCATAGAGGGACTATATAATTTCTAAATGTAAAAAATATGTATAAAGATTTTTAAATACAAAGTGCTTCTATACATTGATCAGGTTACAGTGTTCGTGAACAGATCCCTGTTTAGTTACCTTGAGTACATGGGTTAGACAGCAATTATCACCCCCACTCTGCTTTGATGTAGAGTTCAAGTAAGTGCTAAGAACAAGTGCTGACCATTTGTATGTCCATTGCCAGCAATGGACTCATGTTCTGTACTCAAAATTCTGTATGAAAAATATCTGAAGAATTGATAGAGTAAAATTTGAGAGCCTTTAAAAAACCCATTTTTACTTAAGTTTAAGTAATATGCCAATGAGTTGCAGTAATAGCCCACCAAGTAATGAAGCTCACCTGTGTGTCAGACATTCATGTTCAGGATACAGTTTGGTTAGATGTTAAAATATTTTTTTAATTGGGCTGCTAAGCAGATAAAGACGAAAAACAGCTAAAGGGGGAATTGTCTGTTTATGCGTGTGGCTTTAACATAATGGATCATTTCGTATTTTAGTCCCATGATTCTACAGATTGCAGAATCTGGATGCAACTTGGGGCCAGACATGTTTGGTAGCCATTTGGTGCTGGGTAACTATTTTGTTACAAGTTACCAGCGCTGGAAGAGGGCTACATGTATGTAGACTCACCTCTTTTGATCGTGACCACAGTGTATGCTAAGGAGGCTCTTTCATTCTTACACCAGGTAAACTACATTGTATGTTAACTGCTTCTGAGTAGGAATGCAAAGGCTTTCAACCATTTTGAGCTGCCTTCTTCAATCCCCATCTTAAATCTTATCTCCACCTTCACAACTGATGCATTCCCTCTAGCCTGGATGGTTGTCAAATCTCCCAGAACTACGACAATGCTCCATCTGCTAGAGCATGAGTCCAGTGTATAATACATCCTCCTCATGGCGCACCAGTGCCACCTTCCCACAACTAAGAATCCAGAAATTGCTCACAAACTTGAAACTTGTGCACATCCCACTGTATAATTAAACAGGATCCAACTAGGGTAATTTAAATTGTTTGTCAGCTAGGGCCTTCATTTGGAAAGAAAACAGCTCTGACCTGCTTGTGCCTTTGAATGGGATCAGAGTCACAGTAGTTGACAATCAAGAACATGTATTATGGACCCCACTGTTCAACCAGTAGAGGATTAAATATTTAAATGCCAGTTTATCAATGACTAATAAGAACTTCCTGAAGCAAGTCTCTAGCTCTTCAGATTTAAAAGGATAGAAATTTTCAAAGACGTTTTAGTACCAAGAAAACAAGCCTGTATAATACAGTGAGTTTGGTACTTGCTACTGCAGTAAGCCATGAAAATCTGAAACTTGAGCTATAGGTTAAAGGCTTTATTGAGTGTTGGAATAATACCAACTATGCACTTAAAAAAATAAAAACATTTTGATAAAATGCCCTCTTGCTACACACACTTCCACAAGTTCTCTTACGATGTGGCAGCCAAGGTTGAAAGACAGCCCAACCGACTTTAACATTATACACTGCAGGGGTACAAACAAATGAAGTTTTAATGTAACTGTCTCTTAAATGTATGCAGCACACATCATGATATATCCAAGTGCTTTACAAAAATGAACAAATAGAACTAGGCCCAGTAACTAGACAGAACCAGACACTCTGCCAGAGAAAAAAAATGGGTAAACAAACAAGTAAAGGGAGGCCTGACACAAAAAGTGGCTTTTCACAAAAAAATATAGCTATCTGAAGGCTGTTTAATGACCCATGTTAAGTAAGTTGGTGACATCTGTTCAGTTCCCTGCTGACAGCAAGTTCTATATAACTAAAATCCTTTATTCATTTATTTAAAACAAAAACACCTGAATCCTGCAATTTCTACACATAGCTAACATATGCAATCTTGTGCTACTGCTACCCTTATTGCCACCTTCTCATGCATAAAGTTAAGCACAGGAATAAGTGTTTGCAGGATTGAGGCTTTAAGATTGTGGGTTTTGGGTCTGGAACTTACAGAATGTTTATTTAACTCTTAGCACAATGGAGCCTCCATCAGAGCCCTTGAGCACTACTGTGAAACAATAAATAACAGCAATAATATATTAACAAAAAACATCACCACAAGTGGCCTCATTAGTTACAGTCTCAGCAGAGGGTCCTATGAATAAGCCATGGAGATTTGAACTTCCCTCTCACCTCTAAAGGGGTCCCATCAGGGCAGGGTTGAAGCACCTGCAGTGGAGACAGTAGATGGACAAAAATTTGGTCTGCTCACAGCTGTATCAGCAACATCCTTAGAACTTGAAAAAACCAAAACCTTAAATTTCACAATAGCAAGTACCAGACAATATTTGCATAATTAGTTTATTTTGCTTACTCTGCTAAACAATTAAGTCTTATGTTTTAGTTCATCTCAGTAGTATTCTGCTCAGCTTTGGAGGCTTGGTACGACTTAGTACAAGAAGTTACATGCCGATGAAAACTGTCCCTCCACATAAATCTTTTCCCACAGATATTACACTCGTAAGGTTTTATGCCTGTGTGGATTTTCATATGGCCGACAAGGTGATGTTTCATTTTGAATTTCTTACCGCAGACACCACAACCATAAGGCCGAAGACCCAGGTGCATGCTCATGTGCCGATCCCTCTGACTCTTGTGTGTAAAGCTTTTACCACATTGACAAGGATATAGTTTGTCAGTAGGTGAGAATCCAGAGAGGGTGGTTTCTTCTTTAATTCCTGTAGCCATTTCAATGCTCTCACCATACCCTGCTGCTATCATAACATCTTGTCTGTGAACATTTAGATTTCCATCTGCCCTTTCACCAGAAAATTCTTCCATAGAAGAGCCATAGAAATCAACTTGCTCATCATAGTTATTTTCATCAGCCTGTTCATCAAATTCTGCCTCCATCTTTTTGTCACTTACGTGAAAGTCTTCAACTCCTGAAGACTGGATAGAATGCTCTGTCTGAATGACATTCATGGATTCAGACACCTGGTGCTCATCGTAAGTATGTGCATCTACACCTTCACAGTCCTGTTCAAATCTTTCTGGTTTCACATGGATCCAACGCTTGTGTGACATGATGCTGGGTTTGCTATAGATAGGCCTTGTATACTGACACTCTGCACTGTCGCTGGCTCCCTCTTCACCATCCTGACTTGTCATTCCTGTGCTGAGTCTGTCGTGTTCTGCTGAAGAATTACTGGGAAGGTACTCATGTTCTGTTAACTGAGATGACAGCTCATCTTTAGAGCTTTCTTCTTCATTTTCACCGTCCCTCAGCTCTTGCGCTTTGTGGAAGTCTGGCTGTCCTCCAGAGCCCAGCTCAAAGGTTTCAGCAAGCCCATTATAGCTACTACTGCTTGGGGACTGATGATCACTGCCATGATTCATCTTCTGACAGAGAACTGTTGGGTTCCCTTCTAACACTTCAGTGCATTTGTCTACTACGTGCCACATCTGAAGGAAACTTGCTGCTGTCAGATAACTGACAATTTCTGGAGCAGGCATCACCAACCGTCCCGTATAAGTAGACAGAAGGATATTCTCAAACACTCTTGGATTCATCACATCCGGAAGGACTATTCGCCTGCTATTTTTCAAGAGTACTTGGTCACAGAAGTAAGGTGAGCTGGCTGCAAGGACAGCTTTATGGGCTCTGAACAGATGGCCCTGAACTACAATGGAAACATCACATAACTGTCCCTGCTGGCGCTGCTGGTTCAACTTCTGCAAAATGGTGCTAGAAAAATCAGGAAATTCCACTCGAAAAGAGTTTGTCCCAGACTCCATTTCATTACAAATCTAGTGTTGTGCTGCAAGAGAGAGGAAAATATAACCAGTTTCAACATAACTAAGCAGCATTTATGATGAGACTAAGTTTGCTCATTCCACTCTCTTATCTTCAAGTCTTTCCTTTTTTAGGAAGGGACACTTAAGTGGGCTGACATATTTAAGATAAGTGGATTTACTTACCCAAAGAAACAAAACTTTTAGGAACCTCCACAGTTGCCAGGCTGTTTCTGCCTTTTCTATTCCCCTTAGTCTTTCGATTTTTAAAATGTTCTACAAAATCACAAGCTGCTACACCATCTGTGCACAAACATGAAGGTTGGACATATAAGCTGTATTGTGTATTCTGTACAGCTAGTTATTCTATGGGAATGGGGTTAGGAGGGTCAAGTGTAAAAAAAGTGGTTATTTTGATGAGATTACAGCAGTAGGGTTGCTTGCATTCCTTATTAACTAATTCCACAATGTCCCAAAGTTTCTCAAGTGGGAGAAATCAATTCTGTTTTCCAACTGCCAGCCAAATCATCACATCAAACTTTTCTATAAGAGCAAACTGGCCCCTTTTAAGAAACTAATTCACTTTGTTATTTTTAAAAAAATAAGTAATATGTTATTTCATAGCTCAATATGATGAGTCACATATTGCAAGAAAGTGACTGTCAGAGTCCTAAATAGAGCAAAGTTAGTGACCTTTATTATGAACAATATTTTTCTGCACTCATTTTTTAAAAGAAGGAAGTAGATGTTGCTAGTGGGGAGCTGAGAGACTGTTACAGTGACACAAATTTTGAGCTTTTTCAAATGTTACTTTATTGCAAAACCCCTTGATTTAGCACCTTTTAAATTAAGTGTTTTTCTTGCTTAAACTGGAACCTAACAAGACTAAACTCTTCAAATAAACTGAAGGTTATTAAGGGTCTCAAATAGTTCAGCTGTTTAGTTACAAAAGGAAGAGACGTACCCGGGCTCAAAGTCTGTTACATGATAGTAAAGAAACAGAGATGATTTATATTTTAAAGTTTTATTTAAAGTACCAAATTATAAGCAAAGACATAGGCCAACAGGGGTGTAAAGTTACTGGGTTACAAATCCTGAACAGGAATTATGGAAACACCAAAAAAATGTTATATAATTGCATCTGAAATGCTAATGTGGTCAAGAACTATAGAAAGGCCAATTTTAACTTCTCATTTAGCTGTGTGGATACATTTGTAGATTATGTAACTGAAAACTTTAAAAAGAGCACAGGCTTGAATCAGATGTAGTGTGGTCAGATGCTATTTGAGCTTCCAGAAGTTTTTGTGCATCAGCTACTTGAAAGAAAAACTATTATTTTTTATGATCAACAGAATGGAAGAAACTGTTAGACTGTGACAGTCAATTACAGGAATATACTTTTCAATGCATGGTATTTAGATTTTCTTCAAAGTATCTATATTGTTGAAATCTTTAGCTCTTAGAACAAAGTTCTGACTTTCATAAAAAGTTCCTTCTAATGTTTAACAGAGACTGGACAAAAATCTAGGAAAGAAGCCCCAATTCACTCATAGAATCATAGACACGTAGGGCTGAAAGGGACCTTGAGAGATCATCAAGGCCAGTCCCCTGCGCTGAGGTAGGACCAAATAAACTTAGTCCATCCCTGACAGATGTTTGTCCAACCTGTTCTTAAAAACTTTCAAAAAAATCGGGCTTCCACAATCTCCCTTGGAAACCTATTCCAGAGATTGAATTCCCTTAAATTTAGAAAGTTTTCCTTAAAATCTAACCTAAAACACCCTTGCTGAAGATTAAACTCATTCTTATTACGAACAAGCACATGTATGCAAAATTTGACAAGTATCATTATTTCATTTAGGAGATGCTAAAGAAACAGCATCATTATTTGCATGCAAAGCACAGACTACGCAAAGAGAATAATGATGCAAGTCACCCATGACAATTCAAATGATAACTCATGATTATCTCTTCCTGGTCATTTTGGAGGCAGAGATGCACTTTGCATTCAAAACAGAAGTTGTCAGAACTCCTTCATCCAAAATTTAATAAAGGGAAAGGAAATATCTACATTAAGGCCAAAAATTAAAGCAGCATAATTGTTTTGCCTTTTTTATTTAGTTAGAGGTCTAACAAAAAAAAGGTGACTCGTTGGAGGTGAATAATCACAATATACTTATTTGCATTTGTGTGTAACTAATCAGCATTCCTACTAACCTCACTACCATTTACAGGAGGCAAACAGACATGTACTGAATTGTCATAGGATCATTTTCAGCCACTCATGATGGGTGATTATCTGATATCAATTTGTCCAATAACTGATAGAGTGTGCCAGCCAGTCAAAATGCTGAATGGCTGATTTCCTTTTAAACCAGCAGATTATTAATAAAAGTATCAGATTTTAAAATTTGTTATTGGAAGGAAAGCTATTTCTGAGGTCTTACCAACCAGTTAATTGCCTTGTATCTGCTTCTAAGAGGGCTCTTTTGGGAAGTAGGAACCAGGTAACAGGTATAACGGAGTCTGCATATTTAATCTTAGTATTTACCAGCAGTCCTCACTTTCACTCCCCTTCACTCTTTCCTACAAATATTGCTCCTCTTTTACAGGAGTGCAATCAGCTCTTATTAGGAGCATCACTTTCCTTATGCCTATGCTAGGGCTGCAGACATCCCTGATAAAGAAAGAAACCCAGTCCCACTGCAAGAATTCCAGCCAATGCAGCCTATCGTGGCAGTGATGTAGAAACAGTACTGTCATGGATAAGTTATTTTCTGCTTTGCAGAAGCACATAACAAGGCTACCGAAGTGCAGATCTTCAGTAACAACAAGCAGACAGCCATTATCTCTTTTCCTATATTTTTTTAGGAACAACTTGTCTTACATAATTATCCGACTATAAGAATTCTTATTCTTTATAACAAATGCTGTGCTAAATGCATTTTTGAAAGGCATTACTATGACTAGCCTAAACTACCATCTTTCAACAAGCATACATCCTAATCCCATAAAGATGTACACAACAGAATACAAATGGGTTCAACATGGTAACATTTCTAGAAGGGATCTGTTTTCTTGCTTTTGTATACAAAGTTTACCATTAAAAATAAAAGTGTTTACATAAAGGCAGTCAACTTAATCATGCTGTAAACAAAAAATTTACATATTATTAAGTTAGATATGAAAAGTTAAAGTATTTTTAAAATGTTGTTTTCTTTTCCACTATTTACTGTCTGTGTTTCCTTACTGTATTTATTTCATCTTAGACAATGAAAGTCAATAAAACTTTCCCCCTTTTGTTTAAAGAGAGTTCCATACTCTTAGTACTAGGATGTTTGGGTTCAAACATTGCAAGGTAAAATATGATTAGAATAATATATTTTGGAAATAAATAATTGGTCTCAAAATTTATAAAAGCTTGTTTTTACAAAATTTGGTACTTTATTATTTGTTATGCAGAGCACCTCAAGGCTCAAGCACATTAGCTGCACTACACGTCTTAAGAGTTCATGCTCAGAAAAGTTTACAGTCTAAAAAACACAAAAAAAACCCCAAAGGAACTATTATACCCATTTTACAGATAGAAAGTTAAAATACAGAGAGATTAAATGATGTGCCCCAGGTTATTAAAGAAGTTTATAGCAGAGCCAGGAACTGAACACAAGTGGAAGGATTTACCCTTGAATATCCAAAGGTGGAAACTACTTGTGAAGTACTATATAACTACATAACTTTGCAAAGAGTACTGCAGAGCTTTACCCTCGGCAGCATTACTCAGCCCATCTCAGGTGGTTAAAGGATGCCTCACTAAGCTTCGAAGCGAACATCCCACTGAGGCATCTGCCCCCTTAACAACACTGGGCTGAGGACTTTCACAGGGCTGCCCATCCCATGGCTGTTTTGTGCCTGCCCTGTCCTGCTGCTGGGAATCAGCTGGGCTGAACAGGGTGCGACGGCGCCCACCGGAACACGACGGCCCAGCCCCCGGGCGGGAGGTCCCGGCTGAGGGACGGAGAGCTCTGCGCCGGTCGGGGCGGCCTCAGGCCGCGCCACGGGCGGGCAGACAGACAGACCCGGGCGGCGAAGTGATAAGACTCGGCCCCTCTCACCTCTCGCGGCAACACCGCGCGGGGGCGAAGGGGGCGCCCAGGAGTCCCCCTCTGCGCCTAGATCCAGGTAGGGCCTCACCTGGGGCGGCGGGGGATCTCTCACATGGCCGGTCCCGCTGCTGGGCTCCGATCGCTGCTGCTGCCGCCGCGACTTCCCGGCCTCAGCCCGGCAGCGCGCGGAAGCGATTCCTCCCTATGCACGCTTTCGCTTCCGGGTCACGAGGAACCGGAACTGTTCCGCCTGTTTCCGGTTCCGGCTCAGGCTAGGGTCACGAGGTCGGGCCGAGCTGCGACCAGACCGGGCCCGGCTGCGAGCCCGAGCTCCCCAGGGCGAGTGGGGGCAGGCACCCGTCCTAACGGTTGTTTCAGTTACAATAGTACTAGGAGGCCCCAGTTATTCTAGGTACTACAAATATAGTCTGAGTCAGTCCCAGGCCTGAAGAGCTTCCAGTGACAGTCTAAACTGCCAGGACCGCCTGAGGGGCGGGAAATAGAAGTGCAGAGAGGTGAAGTGACTTGCTTGAGGTCACATAGCAGGTTGCTGAGGCGGGAATAGAACTGAGGTTCTAAGGAGCCTTTCTATCTCTATTTTCGTCACTTCCCTAGAGTTCTTTGTTTAATTTACTTACAAAAGGAAATTGGATACAGAAAATATTCACCATGTAAAGACTTAACAGGTGCAGAGAAGCCTGTGTAGATTTAGGGACATAATTTGTGGAGGATTTGGTATTTTCTGTTCCTGTCCTGGTTATAAGATTAAAATAAGACATTCTGCTCATATAGAATGGTTTAGATTGGAAGCTCTTCAGGGCAGGGATGTTTTATTTGTTTTGAAATGTATGTAAATGTACACCCCAGGACATTAATGATTAGACAGCTCATACCCTTGATGCATCATCCTTTAATTTAGGGGCAGTTTGAGCTGATAGTTATGCTGTCCTCTGCCTGAATGTTCTACTTCAGTCTTTCTCCGATAAGGATTAAAGTAAATAAACTTGTGCTCAAAATGAGGGATATTGCTGATAATAAGAGGCAGCTGAGAAGAGCAGATATGGTCTCTGAGCTATCCAATTTCTCATGCTTGTCCTGAGCTAGGAAAGTATCGAGTTTAACTTCAGTCATGTTCTGATATAAAATCATTCACAATACAAATTTGAATGAGAAAGAAGACCATAGTAAAGAGTTAGGGCTGATTTTTGGAAGGAACTTGTGGCGGTGAATATCTGTGTCTGTGAAGAGTATTACTGTTGTCACTGGGCCACCATGGAGGCACAGGGTCTCTCTGTGTGGTTCTTGGTGGAGAGTCAGGGCTTTCATCTTTCCTTTTGGCAGATAGGTAGGCTCCAAAGATAAGGCAAATTCATTAGAACTTATCCCTGACAAACTTATGACCCAGTTCCACCCAAGTCTGTTGTACACTTGTAGAACGCAGAGAAGGCTGTGTTACAAGAATTGCCTTATAAAAGGAAATGCTCAGTTTTCTGTAGATTGGCTGTCTTCAGCATAGGAACTTAATACTGTTATTTATCATTTGTACAATGTAGGAATCAGAGAGAACACTAAGGACTGGGCCTCATTGTGCCAGGTGCTGTACAAACATAGAGTAAAAGTCAGTCCCTACCACAAACAGTATAAAATCTTGTAAGCAGATATGCATGGATATGAACCCACTAAACAAAGTCAGCGGTGCTTTCTGTGGGGGTGCAGAACTGAGGCATGATTAAAGACAAAATTCAACAAGTAGGTTTAACAAACAATAGGAGGAAGAAAAGAGAGAAAGGACTAGTGCAATGAGATAATCATGGACTTGAGTTCAGTTGTGATGGGGAACTTAAAGTTAAGCATGTGAATAAATGTTTGCAGGGTTGGAGCCCATGTGATCACAGTTCAGTTAAAAATATGTAATTGCTTGTAATCTCTGTCTATGCTGATTTTCACTGTTTTAAATTACTGTTTTTATTACGCCTGCAACAACATGGTTCCCACTGAAGGAGGGGACCAACACTGGCATTCATGTCAAGGAATCTGCTCCCCGAGAGCTCCTCTCATCAAGCACGGAAGCTATTATCTTCCCTTCACAATGGCATTCATTCCCCTTTCAGTGAACAGATAACACAGACCAAGAGTAAACTGAAGCTTATGTCGCCATAGAACTACTAAAAAAAACCCCAGCATTGTGACACTTTAATAATTATGTTTATATAATTTACATGTCAGTGCCAAAGAGTCTGTAAATAAAATACACCTCTACCCCGATATAACGCTGTCCTCGGGAGCCAAAAAATCTTACCGCGTTATAGGTGAAACCGTGTTATATCGAACTTGCTTTGATCCACTGGAGTGCGCAGCCCTGCCCCCCCAGAGCACTGCTTTACTGCATTATATCCGAATTCGTGTTATATCGGGTTGCGTTATATCGGGGTAGAGGTGTAATGTAAATTGTTGCGAATGTGGCCAAAATTCTGATTTCCCTTTTATCTTGTTATAGTTAGCTTTCACTGTGCATGGCACTTTCCTGGCTTACTAAATATTCTTTGATTCAAGATATTAAAACTTAAACAACAGAACATTCCTTGCTGCTGTGTTAATTGGTGATTGAAGCAGATTTGGGCTTAGATGAAAACACACCCGTTTTTCTGGTTTTTTTAAGTAGTATTGTATCTGAATATAAATTGGAAACTAGCAATGGCTGGGTAGATCCCAATTCTAGATGCAGATCTCCTTCATAGGTCAGACTGCCATCTGATCCGCTCCCGTTCTTCCACCGCTGTTTGTTATTAGGTAAAGCAGGATTTCTTTTTTGCTGCTGAAATAAAGTTTTTCCCCTACATGACATCTTAGTGGTATTCTGCTGTGATGGGCTTTAGGCAGAATTGTGAGAAACCCAGATCGGGGTTTCCAATCCCAGTGGGATTTTTTCCTATTTTTTTTTTTGATCTGTGACTGTATTTATACAAACACATATTTGAAATTATTTTGATATTAGAAGCATTAGGCTCTCTTGTCAATCTAGTAAAATCTCAACTATTCTAAAAGTTAAAGGTGAGGTGATCAGAACATCAGGGTTCTTGTTATGCCTAGGGTGACCAGATAGCAAGTGTTTAAAATTGGGAAAGGAAGTCGGGGATAATAGGCACCTATACAAGACAAAGCCCCAAATATCGGGACTGTCCCTATAAAATCGGGACATCTGGTCACTCTAGTTATGCCTATTAGGAAACTTAGAGAACTGTCTGGAAGCCTAGAGGGAAATTGGGTGAGTAGCTAGTGATAGGGATGTGATTACTGAGTGGAATGAATTGTCAGTGGAGTTTGAAGAGAGAGGAGCAGGTGAAGTTGTGTACTGTAAGGAGTGGCTTCATTTGATTGAATCTAGAAACTTCTGGAATATGTGCAGGACCACTTCAAAAGAGGAAGAGTCAAGACAAAAATGAGAAGAATAATGATATCTTTTGTATTTCTCAGCTTGGCAAATATCTGGTGAGAACTTTGTGTCAGCAGTTGCATAAATGAAGTAAGTTAACCTTAGAAGAGTGAGGGAAGTGCACATTGTGTTACATGCCCAGTGCCCCTAGAGGCCAGTCCCAGCATCTCTGGGTTCTCACAGGAGGCTGCCAGTACTGTTGGCCATTGCAGTGTGAAAATGCATCTGCTTTTGTATTAGTGACACTGGCAAATAAGTAATAGATCCACTGCCAATTGACTACAGTGCATATGAGATCATGCACTAAATCGGGGGGAAATTATGGTTTAAAAAAATGGTGAAAATTCTGTCATACCTCTCTGATGAACCTTGTAGTAACTAATGCAGGGGTCGGCAACCTATAGCACGCGAGCCGATTTTTGATGGCATGCGGCAGCGGGCTGAGCTGCTCAGCCTGCCGCCGCTCTGGGGTTTCTGCTGCTGGCTCCTGCCAGCCGGGGTCCCACCGCCGGTCCCACTCAGCGCCCGCTGCCGGCCTGGGTGAAGGAACCCCAGGCTGGCAGCGGGCTGAGACCCCGGCTGGCAGGAGCTGGCGGCTGGAACCCCAGAGCAGCAGCGGGCTGAGCCACTCAGTTGCTGCTCTGGGGTTCCGGCTGCTGGCCCCTTGCCAGCCGGGGTCCCCGCCGCAGCCCCACTCACCTTGTTTCCGGTTGGAGTTCCAGCGCAGGCCCCCTGCCAGACAGGGTCCAGGCCTCCAGCCCTGCTCAGCCCTACCAGCCGCCCGCTCCACTCACCTCAGCTGCCGACCTGGGGTTCCAGCCGCTGACCTCCTGCCAGCCGGTTAACAACTGATCACTCATAAGCCTGTGTGCAGCTTAAAGAATCCAAATACGTGCCAGACATTCGAAAACTCAGCAAGGAAAAGCAAGGGCAAGGATCACACTAAACTGATAAGATCTGCATTTTAATTTAATTTTAAATAAAGCTTCTGAAACATTTTGAAAACCTTGTTTACTTTATATATAACAGTAGTTTGGTTATATAATATATAGACTTATAGAGAGACCTTCTAAAAAACATTAAAATGTATTACTGGCACGCAAAGCCTTAAATTAGAGTGTATAAATGAAGACTCGGCACACCACTTCTGAAAGGTTGCCGACCCCTGAACTAATGTAATTGAGGGCCCTAGTCAGGGTTAATGAGTGAATGAGAGCTGCTACTTATGGTTGTACTTTAAGCCAGTGCTTCTCAAGCTATCTGATGTGGGGGACCGGCAATTTTTTTCCCCAATGTGCCAGGGACCGGTGCCATATTATTATCCTATTTGACGCTCTTATGAGGAAACTCGCCGCGGACCGGCAGCTGATGGCTCGTGGACCGGCACCGGTCCGCGGACCACCACTTTGAGAAGCACTGCTTTAAGCGACAGAATAAGTGGAAAAAATTAAATAATCAGAAGCATGTTGGGAAGGAAAGCTCTAATTTAATACTGAGAATTAAACTTTTCATTTGGCTGTTAGTAGGAAAAATATTTTTGATTGAAATCTAAATTCAAAGATGCAATTACATAGATTATCCTTCAGCACGTTTGGCATCTGGGCGGCCAATGGAGCAAACCTCTCTGGAGTCTTTGGGCAAAGTTAGGGTTTGGTGATTGAAGAAATAAAGGCCCTAGTAATTGCAATCCTCGAATTTTACTGCTAGTTTTGTTTTTGCACTGGTGCTTATTGTCACATAAATGCAGATAATAGATTTTCAAA